AGTTGTGCAAAATAAAAGCCATGCATATATAAAATTATTTCCAAGGATGTCAAAGCAGTTGACTGCATGGTGAACTTATTTCTCACCGTAAGCAGTCAACCATGCACATCGAAGGTGTGGGGGGAACGACAACAAGAACACAGAATTTAAGGACTGTAAATGAATTCACAATATTCCACGGATCATGTCAGAGCATTACTAGCTACATCATGGGACCTCCTTTGCCAGTACCAAAATAAAAGGTTTCGGTTTGGTGTTTTAACATCTTAACACCTGTTTTGCCAGAAAAAAGGGGAAAACCTATTCTCATTATTAGCTAGTTAATCGCTTTGCACTTAAGAATGCATTGCAATCTTAAAAATCATTATAATATTAATACAAGGCATCGTGTTTCTTCAACTTGCTGCACCACAAGATTGTGTCAAATTTTTCCCAGGTCTCATTTAGAAATGTTTAACGGGGGGAGGGGGGGCATATATTAATTTCTGTGCTTCACCATTCCATGCTGCTGGCCCGATATGTGCTGCTCACTCAGCCCTTAAATTTGTTTAAGCCCCATCAATTCTACATGTCATCTGGCATCATAAAACATTGAAGCAAAGTGACACTATGCATTTAACAATTTAGAAGCAACATTGTAAGTAAGGTTGGATTTATAGATGTTTTTTGCCAATAACCACAAGCACCGAAATCACTTTGCATTGATAAGGATCATAGTAGGGAGAGATAGATACGCAACATCGCCAATGTACACCCGATCCCACGAAGATCCGACCTAATTAAAAAAGCGGGGGGTATTGGTCAATACATTGTCAATTTGCTCTACAACACACTGGTGGTGCTGTACTAGTGTAACGAGAGCGCCATCTCCTGTATTATGTGGAATGTTGTGTGATATGCAGTTATGGGTTATCTAGGGGAAGGGTTACATCTAGGCCAAAGGTAATGGGGCGGAGCCACCCGGGAAGCCTCTGGAACGCTCCCGAAGGTTTCATGAGGGGCGTGGCCAGAGGCGGGGTTTAGTCGCCGGGGAGCGTATATAAGCGGGGGCCGGAGCAAGGTGCGGGGTCGGTGTGTGAAAAAGCAAGAGGAGCTCCCTGTCGCTGCTGCCCCGACCTCTCAATCAGCCACGTGGCGGCGCGACCTCCAGCCGCTCAACCGCTTCCTAGTGCGCCGTCAGCCTGCGGCGTGTTAAAGAGTGGGTGAGCACCACATGGCGTGGGGCAGCAGTAGTGCGAGTGAGAGAGACGAGAGACAACCAACTGTACCGAAGATTTATTAATAAACGATTCAAGTTCTTATCGTGTCTGAGCCACTCATTACACTAGTAACGAATTAGTATGTTCTGTTCATGTAACAAATGCTACTAATTGGTGGTGGCGGGTTTACGGCACATTTATGCGATCTAACCTCAAAAAACAAACCAATATTATTCACTTATTTAGCATTTCCAGAATGCACAAGTACAATGAGGCGAGATAAACTTACCATGCACACCTCAATGAAGTGTTTGGAATCCTCTTTTTAGCAAACACGCATGGAGTTGCACATGATCTTGAAAACGTTGCTGAAAAAAGTAAAAGTTTGGTAATGCCCTATAAAACAAATCTATGATTAAACAAACTAGCCAGACATGGCTATTCCGACACAGCTTAAGGATACATTTATATTAATATCGGAGTGACAAGTCCATAAAAATACGAAATACATCAAGAAAAGGCAGGTCATTTGGTGTGGCTTATGCATACGTCCCGCAATACGGAGGCAAACCACAGAAAACACGTGTAGTGACTAACTCGGAGACGGTAAGACTTGGAGGCACTTCTTTTATTGAACGAACAATAATACACACCCTACGTGGGTGACGATCTTGAACAGCACGACGGGGATCCTACTTCCAGCAACAGCCACGAGGTCCCCCACAGGGGCCCCTCTTATACTCTCAGTGTGGCCTCGCTCTAACATGCCCCATCTCTGGAACCTACTCACGGGTTCCCGAGGCTTCCCGATGGTCCCCTCTGTGACCTTTTCCCTACATGTCCCCCTCTCGTATCTATCGTGGCCTAATGACGTGGGTGCTGCCATACACCGCAGTTACCCTTTTCTGCCAGCAGCCAGCGCTATGCCACTACACATGCAAGACTACAGCGGTCCACGCTCTGCGCTAATCCACCACTCAGACTGCGCTCCAATATACACAAATATTTATTCTAGAAATTAGCAACGAATTTCAAGGTTAATTTTAAACAGGGTCCGGCTACCAGTTGGGATGTTTGGTCCAAATTCCTCCTAAGGAAGACCTGTATTCATTATAAATATCAACTTGCCAGTTCGTTTAAACATTTTAGAAAATACTCTATGGTTCTTTTGGTAAAGTCACGTATAAAGATAAAATAATAAATTAAATACTAGCATACGACGTTTCGATTGCAACACAAGCAATCATCATCAGGTATAAATAAAATAGAAACACAAATCTAGTATACTTAGAAATGTAATGTAATACAACAGAGAGTCGAATAACATAACCGTCAACACCCTACCTGGTTGATTACGTTCTTCCTGAGAATGCTAAATTTGAGAGAGAGATAAAACACAGAACCAGAGACATATAGACAGACATATAAGCAGACAGATATCACAGAGATACATAGAGAGAGACAAACATAGGCACACAGAGAAACCACGCCTCTGTGTCGAGGCCTTAAATAGAGAGAGGGGGCGGGGGCGGAGAGAGAGGGAGGGGTTAGAGAAATTAGCATGTCAATGAGTGGCACGGTGAGTGATATGGTGCAAAAGCTTGAAAAAATTAGGAGACAGGGAGAGAGACACACTGAATTAAATAACCTAGCAAAATTTCGAAATGTAATGTAATGCAACACAGAGAGTCGGTCAACACACAATTAACGCATAGCCTGGTTGATTACGTTTTCTTCAAAGATTGCTAAGTTAGAAGTTAAGTGTGAAATTTTAAAGAGAGACAAGACACAAACACGAAGAACAGACAAAAGCACAGACAAAAGCAGAGAGGGAGAGGGACAACAGCCGAGACACACATCTTGTGGCAAGCCAAAAGTGGCCCCTTGCAGCGTCACTGACATCGCGCCCTTCTCACGCGTTCCCGCGCTCGCCTCAAAATGGCGCTCGCTGGCCACGGTAGGTCTTCCAGGGGCAAAATGGCGCCCACCATATGCACGGTCTCTGGTCTGGACTGCTCTGCTCCCGCTCCGATGAAAGCTCCAACTGGGGTCTCCCAGTGACTTCTCTCCACGCCGCTGACCGCGGTGCACCTCCCATGACATCTCGCGGCCCCCCCTGCCACGTGGTCAGCGCGCGATCGAGGCCTATGGGCTTTGTAACCGGGGTCCCGGATCCCGGTGCTGCCGGAGGGATGACCGTCCCGCCGTCCACACTATGGGTGGGTTCCTCTTCTTGGTCACTTTGGAACACCCCACTTCTAAGACCAGATGTAGTATAGCACAAGTCGGAGACAAGGTAGTTGCAGGAAGCACCTTCTTTATTCAGATCTTACCCAGTTTCCAACTTAAAACAGATTCGCCCTCATGCACTCTCTAGTCTAGCCTAGCCTAGACGCAACCTTGACCGTGTTACACTGATGGCGTCGACCAAGACTGCCAACAACTATTCGGCCGCGCAATGATCTGGTGAAGACGACAGCGACGAAGGCGGCAAAGACGACAGCGACGACGAGACGAGTCCACTCCCAGAATCGGCAGCCCGGAGCTCTCGCTCTCCGCTGCTTTTATCCTACTCAGCATGGCCTGGCTCCGCCCTGGCCGCACCTCCCTTCTCGAACCCACTAGTGGGTTCTAGGGGCTCCAGATGAGGTCTTCCGTGACCCTTGCCCCAGTTCCTCCGCCCTGCCGGCACACCCGTGTATATGCCCAATAGCGTGTGTGCTAACTGTCCACCGCAGTTGCCGCTGCTAGACAGCAGTCGTCGCTATGCCACTACAAATGTATTTTTATTTTGTAAAGTGTCCGTAAATTGGTCACCATTGCACAAGGCGCAACACTTTATGTCTCAGTGGGTTTATCTCGTGGTTAAATAGAAATGGCATTCTATTTTTGTAGGGGAAAAACATGGAAATGATCGCCAAACTTGTCATAGCTCCCTCTTTGCTATATTGCAGGGGGGGGGGGGGGCTATGATAGTTAAACCCTGTCGAGGGAAATATAAATAAATAAATACCTCTAGACAAATGGACACAACCTCGTGTTTAAAGATTAAAAGCCCCTTTCACATGAAAAATAACACGCTATTGAAAATTACTTTAAATCACTTGGCAAATTTCAGCAAGGGCAGTTTAAGCTGAACGGCTGAAATTACAACAGGGGCCGTTCATAAATGACCTCAAGTACCTCGGTGGGGGGGGGGGGGTGTCAGACATTTGTGACGATGTGTGACGAGGGGGGGGGGGGTTGAGAAATGTGACGTCACATCAAAATGCGCAACTTTAAATAAATATAGACAACACGTTCTACTTAATTAAATAGACTTTTTAATAAATGTTTTCTCCTACAATATCAGAGTGCAGCGCCACATTAAATATGCACTACAATGACAATAGTTTAAAGCGATTTGAAGCATGCAATTTTTTTTTAGGGGGGGAAGCAGAGCTTTGTGACGTCATATTTGAGGGGAGGTCTGACTTTTTGTGACGCCGTGTGACGAGGGGGGGGGGTCAAAAATCGCGTGACGTCATTTATGGACGGCCCCACACAGTACGCGTCTTAGCCGTAAGTGAAATACGAAAAAACCCTTTATTATAGACGAGCACAATGTTAGAACATGTTGTATTCGCGAGACGAAACATCGAAACACTGGCAAGCAACGCAGCCCCGTTATAAGCCTCCCGAAATTCGACTCTCGATTCCGCTCGCACTAAACAAACACGCCGTCGATTCCCGCAATCCCCCTGCCCGCATTGTTGTGCAGGGGGAGGGAATCGGTGGTCGCGTCTATAACGCCGGATCGATTCTCGGGACGCGTGCGTGAGCGTCATGGCGGACGTGGGGAAGGTCAGCTCAGGCGTTTTCGCCAAAAACGCCAAGAAGCGGATCACCAGGGCCCAGGAGAAGGTAGGGCGGTCAGAGAACACCTCGCTACCGTCACCACCATCATCGTCATCATTACCACCGCTAACTGCTGGCTTTGAGGGAATGGAGGACGGGGCAAAGGCGTGCTGGTGCGGATGCCCGTTGTCGGTGGATGCGGCAAGCTGCTGTGGTTTGGAAATAAATCAAAGAGATGAGCATGGGGGGTGGTGATGGTACAACGGGGCGCTGCCTGCCTGCTTGCGACAATACACGGCCTCCATCGGTCATCGCATCACAACATTCATACTCAACAGTGTCACATCTTCATCACCAGACACTGCATTATCATGCACGTCACCTGTCATTCTAACGTCACAAGTGCAGCAGTAGCATCATAATCATCATCCTGTGCCGATCATCTTGGCGCATCAGTAGCAGCATCGTCGTATTCGCATTGTCACATCATCATCATCATCCTCGCATCGTCATGAGCCTCACATTTTCACATCTTCCCCACATCCGATCACATGCTTATTGTAACTCAAGGAGTATTGATAATACTACGGGACGGGATACCACTCACCGTACAGTGGAGGCATTCTTGATGTGTGTGTGTGTGTGCTGGGGGGTGCCCAATGAAATAGCTCTTAACCGTTTAAAAGCCAAGTGAAAATGTTGTCCTCTATCTCATAGGTTAAATTAAAGATGGTGTCTATTGTTTATCAGAGCCTATTTTTCATGGCGGGGTTTTCATCGGTTGTTACCTTGTCAAGCACCATGCATTTGTTATGCGTTTTAAAATGTATGCCAGCTGTATAAAATGATCTTCATTCACCAGAACACTCCACCTTATTCCTCCTTCTCTACTCCTGCAACATCGGCTCCATTCCCAGCCCTTGTCCCTCCATCCCTTCCGTCACCTCCCTTACTAACAGCCGCTCCACCCCACCCGTTGCGCCCCTTTTCTCTTTGTGTACCGCCGTTGGCTTGCGTTGTAAAGTGCCCTGGAAAGGGCGCTGTTATATACATCCTAAATAGAATATAATTCAAGGTTCGTGCTGGAGAACACACGATCATTGCTTGGCTTGGCCCCCCATGTGCCAAAAGCACGGCCGCTGAATCGTTATAATTGTGTTTTTTTGCCATGTTCTAGAGCAGTGGTCATCACCCCCCCCTCCAACCTTTAAGGGCGAGTGTGCCCAGGCTGTGGCATGGATACCGTGCAGGATACATTTCAAATGCGCGCGGGAAACGTCAGCGCTACGTTCGCAGCTACAACAACACACTAACACGCACCATGAAACAAATGTCTTGCTAACACTACCCAACACATGTTGAAAAGCACGAGTTTAGAGTAAGTTTAGCCCTTCCAAAACCGAACAAAAACACCTTCATTTTTCCTGCGTTGTTGCATTCTTCTATTTAACAAACGTGGCTGTGCATACAAAACGTGTAGGTGCATGTGGTTATTGTAATCCATTTTGTATGCATCAGCGCATTTGTCAATAAAGAGCATATTGGTCACTGTGAACACAATTATACCAACACCGCAATAGCTAGCATGAAGGTACGTCAAACATCCCTTGGCCCACGGGGTGGTGAGGAAGGCCTTCCAGTAGTGGACTGACAAAGGGCTGTAAATTATTAAAGACAAATATTGCATTTGTGGAGGAATTGAAGAACCCTGGTGAGAAGACACAACGGAGATACAGTGCTCACATGCGGCTGCTTTCTGCTTCAGAGGAAAGAGCAAGCATCTATTAAATTATGGACCATGTCAACTGAGTGGTTGCACTCACAATGTTGAAGGGTAGGGATGTGACCAATGAATAATGTAGCGACTGGGGAGTATTTTCCTTGGACACGTGATATGTCATGCCACATGCTAGTGGGTACAGCACGCTGCAAAGGGGGTGGAGGGAATTTGTGTTTTATTCGTTTTACGTTGGTGCAATTCAACATGCATATGCTCAAGTAATAAGAGTAGACTAATCCGAGATGTATACATGTATCATATTATTACTGTATAAGATGGTATATACTGCGTAGAATGTGTGTTCTTCCAAAGTGAACAATTTTTTACAGTTATTTTTTATGTTACATGAAATGGTTTTAAAATATGGCTTATGGTGTGACTGTATGACGGTGGGAAATAAACAGTTATTTAGTGATGGTCTGATTAAAATCTGTGTTGATATATGAAGGTGCTGCAGAAGTTGGGAAAAGCTGATGAGACCAAGGACACACAGTTTGAACAGCTGGTGCAGAACTTCAGCAAGCAATATGTAAGCAACAGTAAAATACTAATGTCAACTTAATTCGCAATTGTAAATGTACGTTCATGTTTTATTGGTTCTAAATTTGTTTCGACAAAGTAAACACAGTGAGCACACAAGTATAATTGTTACGTAGATATAGGTCAGGATATTTAGGATATAAATAGAAGCCAATACACACAATTGTCTTTAAAACAGCGAAGTGGGAGTGGCTCATACACTTAAATTCATTGTAAAGATTGTACTTCTGTTAAAAATGGAAATTAAACTGAGGTTTTTGGGTGATGTGTTTTTTTTTTTATTTTGCAGCTATAATAACAAAGTTAAACATTGTATAAATGTAAATGTTTTCAGCAAATATATGTTTTGTTATACTTTCATCTGTTTAGGCATTACTTCCTATGAAAGCATTATTTAAACCAAGCTATTCCCTGTGATGTATGGAGGTTATGTCCGAGGAGAAAAGTGACCCTGTAAAGGGAAAATATAACACTGATAGCTCAGCTGCACGTTCATCAAAATTGTCTATTTCCTTGTTGAGCAGTTGCTATGTACTAGCAGTTCATGTGGAGTTATGAGCTTTGAAGACGCCTTTAAAATATTTCTTTTGTACTAATAGAATACCGAGTTGGACTTGAACAGGAATCCAGTTCTAGGTTGTTTGGGCCCCTTTCAACACAAGCTCCCTGAGCCTCAGTTCCCCACTTAATTAGGTCTATAATAGTCTAATTTAATTAAAGCACTTATGTTTGCACAACAAATAATATTATTGCATAGAAATCGTATAGATAAAATGTAATAATAGTGCTTATCTAATCTGTAAAAAATGCAAATACTTAATGTAAGTATATACTATATATTTTTTATGCATGTATAATTTTCAAATTCCCTCCATTTACCGCCAGCTTTTTGTTGTATTTTCCAGTTGCTAATTCCTGTGTTCTAAAATAGGGTGAAGGAACCAGGCTACATAAAGAAGTCAAGGCCTATCTGGCAGCAGTCAAAGGTAAATTTACTTAAATGCATAATAGGATAAATGTGAATACATTTTCAAAACTAACAAGATTATAAATGTAAGCGAATTGGCAGCTGGAATACTTAATTCACTGTATACACCATCAAAGTTATTTTGACAAAAAACTTTGCTTCATTGGCAGTATAAATTGTCAATTGTGATATATTAAGTCGCAAAAATAGGCTTGGCTAGTTTCTTACAAGACTATGTGGTGACTGCTTCATTGCACAGCCATGCACGAGTCATCCAAGAAGTTGATTGAATCGCTTCAAGAGATTTACGAGCCAGACTGGTATGGAAAGGAGCTCATTCAAGATATTGCGGAGGTATGTTTAAATATATTACACAATGATGCTGTATAACTATTATAAACATGTATTCCATTTTATGACAGTTTATTTAAAAAAAGTTTTCATTTTTCAGTTTTAAGCAACTAAAATTGTTTTTACTATGGAAGAAAAAAACAGTCGTTGCAGTGAGTAACCACACTTTCATATGACATGCTTCACTCAAATTTGAATGTCTGCTTCCTAACTCCTCTGCTTTAGCGGAACAATGAACTATGGGAAGATTTTCACCAGAAGCTGGTGGATCTGGCATTACTCACCCTCGATATATACTTGGGGCAGTTTCCTGACATAAAGGTACAGTTAGTTTGGATTTTTCACGATGTTTTGTCCATTAATAAAGTAATGACTAAAGTTGTAAACTGCAATTGTAAATTACCATTTATGTATACTTATTTGTACTTCAGATGCTATGTACTCGTGTTTACTCATATTTGTGCTATGTACTTGCATAATTGCCTATAAAAGTGATAATTAAATTGCTATATAGTAAGCACGCACGGATTATTTTAATTTAAATCGGACACACTTTTCGATATTATAGAAGCACGACAGGCAGTCACTGGGTTACGGAAGGGTTTGGTTCACAAGAAAGATCCGTAACCCGAATTTTCCGTACGTTGGAAACTCACCAATTTCCCCCCAAAATCAAGATTAAATCCCATAGCCGGAAATAGTTGTGCCTCTCCTACCCAATTACTAGTTCGTTTTCTCTCAGTCCTGTATCACGCTGTCCATTTTTTATCCCTACCTGTATCGTATCGCTGTACATACGCTCTACACTTCCTATGATTCTTTCATTTAAATCGAATATCTCCCCTAACACTACCCATAATTAAACTAATTGAACATATACTGTACAGGTGACCCCCGCACCTACGACCTAATTGGTTCCTGAAGTCGAACCCTTATTTCCCATAGGCACAATGTTATAAATTTGGGGTTCTGTTCCTGGAAACCTATTACATACCATAAAAATACCAAAATTGACCACGAAATTAAATGAAAATAACCCTACAAACATTTATTGTAATTTTGAGTAACTTTTACAAACATTCATTAAGTGAAAACAAACACATTTGAAAATTCTCAGACAGCAAAAGGCTAAAAAAATTAAATTTGAAGAAAATTGACGAAAAAGTGAAGAGCGTTCGCGAAAGAGATGCTGCTGCATTCGTTCTATGTTCAGCTGCATACTTGTCGGGCTATTCCGTACATATGCATATGGCAGAAGAACAAAGCAGTGCAATCGACTCGGTGTCAGCAGTCGTTAGGCGGTCGTAGAAACGAGTTTTGGTCATTACTGTGGGGGTCTTACTATAAGAAAGGTTATAAAAGCGGGGGGTCGCAAGTCGAGCCTTCGTAAGTGGGAAGTCACCTGTATCGAATTGTTTATGAATACCACGAAACATTTAATATTAATTGTTAACAGAAAGCAGTCACTTTGCAATGTTTGTTTATCGTGCCTGTTGGCTGAGACCATAAGTAATTGAAGTGTAATTGTGTTAAATAAAGTACATGCAGTAAATAACTCATGAAATCCACTTAAAATTAAGAAAACTGGCAATAGAAACATGGGAAAAAAGATAATTCTGAGCATAGAAAACAAACAATTACATATTATTCATCCGCAACCTCACCGCGCTGCACTATTTGCGCTTATCAAACTAACGCAACATTTTTCGCAAATTATTTTTTTGACATGTATTATGGGACCATTTAATTAAAGTCGAATTTCTGTAAGTCGAGTCTTCTGCAAGCTGGGGACTTAATGTACTTTGTAGTTATATACAGTGATAACAAGAGGAATGTACCATTTACAGACACGTATTGCCAAACGCGGCCGGAAACTGGTGGATTACGATAGCACCAGACACCACCTGGAAGCCTTGACATGCACGAGGAAGAAGGATGACTCCAAAATAAGCAAGGTGATACATACATAAGGAGCATGAGGAGAGTGCTATTTTAGCATAATTTTGTCTGCTTGGCAACAAATACATTAGTTACTCATATTTCCTCTACTGTCCACCAGGCTGTGCAGAGACAGTCTTCTCTGGCCGGTTTCCATGCTTCTCCCATGGCTATATAGAGCCAGGCTCAATCATACCCCACCTATTTGTCTCTGCAAGGGCCAACCATGGAGAGGGTTGGCCCTTGTGGCCAACCTGTCCAACTTTCAGGACAAACATGCCATTAGCTTGGTGATGGGCAACACAATGGCCTCCTGCCTAACTTGCTGCCTATTGCTGGCACATGAGTGGCAGCTTCATCACAGGCTGCAGGCCTGGGCACTGACATGTGCTATAGCCTGCCTGTTGGCTCAGAGTCTGGTGATGGCCAATTCTGCTCCCATGATCTTAGGTCGTGCGTGAGGAAGTCGGGTCAAGCTTCCACCTTTGACAAACCATTTATCAGGACAGCATGTCAATGACCATTTATTTTACAATCTACATATAAAATGCAAGTATTCAAATGTATCTTATTGGTTAACAGTCGTGGCACATTATATATGAGGTGTTTAATCTCATTGTATATTATACCTCAATAATTGTGAGTTTGAAATCACATGTTTTTCATATATTAATTTGCAAAGGAATAGTATTTAAGTTGGTTGAATAGTGGTTTATTACACCACTCCACTTCATTCTGTTGCAGCATTATTTAACATCACATTAACCTATTGACAATGGTGTAGAGATGATGATTGCAGAGACTCAAAACTTGCCATTGTAAGCTGCTGTTTGCAAGTATATGTTCTTTATGTTTGTGGAGCCAGGCAGAAGAAGATTTTCTGAAGGCTCAGAAGGTATTTGAGGAGCTGAATGTGGACCTGCAAGAGGAGCTGCCAATCCTTTGGAATAGGTACAGATTAGATTATATGGATAATGAATAATGTATGTTGTGAAATGTATTCTGTTGTTAAATATTCTTGGAATATGTGACAAGAAAATAATACACTTCTGCCAGCGACTTGCATGCCCATACCTAGGCCTCAGCAAGGTAAGGTAAAAGTTTAAAGGTAAAAACAACGAACATACCTTTACCTTACCTTTTACCAGAGGTGTGGACTCGAGTCATGTGACTTGGACTCGAGTCAGACTCGAGTCATGAATTTGATGACTTCAGACTCGACTCGGCAAAATGTACAAAGACTTGCAACTCGACTTGGACTTGCATAACAATGACTTTGTCCCACCTCTGCCTTTTACCTTACCACAATACAATCACTCTACCCTACCTTTTACCCTTTAGCACAGCGGTCGGGAACCTATGGCTCGCGAGCCATATATGGCTCTTCCGGTGACGGCATATGGCTCCCAGACAAATTTGAGTTGAAAAAAAAAATAATAAAAAAATAAAAATAAAATCAGTTTGGAACTGATTTAGAAATACTTGTGATATTGCTTAATAATACTGTGTAATTTTAAAGTAAACAGAAATTAGTTTTGAAGATAAAATTTCTCGGGTCACGGGTTCCGTGACCAGAAGTCGCATTAAAAGTAAGACATTTAATTTATTATACGTTAAAATACTATATGGCTCTCAATGAAATATATTTAGAAATATTGGGCTTTTATGGCTCTCCCAGTCAAAAAGGTTCCCGACCCCTGCTTTAGCAGGTAAGGTAAAAGTAATAGGTAAAAAGCAACGAGCCTACCTTTACCCTACCTTTTACCCTTACCCCATACAAATTACCCGATTACAGGGTAATTACTAGGGAACTACTACACATGAACAAGGTTTATAACGGTAAATATTAGATAGAGCGCTTTATTCATATAGAATACTTTCGATGATTCCAATTTTACACGCTTTCTTTGAACTCACTATTGTCGTTATTGATGTTGTCGCTGTTGTCATTGTTGTTGTCGTCGTTGTCGTATCCTCAAATCTTGTAATTCAATTTTTACCCACTTCCTAATGTGGTATCGACTGCAAACTTGGTATGCATATGTCATAATGGTGACAATACTATATTATATCACTTAAAAAAGTATATATTTTTAAACAATCTTTTTTATATGTTATGTTTCGGCTTGGCTCTAATTGTCCACGCTCAACTAACGTTGGCTGTAAATCACCACGGCCCCTTACGTTATGGCAAGCCTCGGGGCCACTTCCTGGAGTCGTGGAGTTCTGCCATTACTGGTACATTTAATAAAAGCGTGTTTTTAATAAAGTTTTTAAAAATATTAATTATTAAATGGAGGCCACGGATTGCGCTACGGAGCTTCTAGCGGTAAACAAGGTACCGTATTTACCGGGTAATACTCCACGCTACCTTTACCCTACCGGGTAATTCTTCCGAGCTACCTTTACCCTTTAACCCTTTACCTTACCCCTTGGCATGTCGACACCTTTACCCTTTTACCCGGTAAGAAGGGTAAATTACCTTACCTTGCCGAGGCCTACCTATACCTACTATAATAACCCAGGAATGTCCTTAACGCTCGTGACGTCACTCCACATCGACCAGCCCCCCTCAATATTCATGAGCAGGTGACATCCTCCAAATGGACACCCCCCCATTATTATTACCTACTATAATGAGCCAAGAATGTCTGTGTGCAACGCTCGTGACATCACTCTACGTTGACCAGCCCCCCTCATTAATAATCATGAACAGGTTACGTCCTCCACATGGACACCCCCCCCCCCCCCATTCATAATAATTAGCGGCTGATGTCACTCACATGGGGAGCCGAGGCGCCTCCTCCCCCCTCCTCGGCGTCAACTTGCAACCCTCACTACAAAAGCAGAACCCTCATGTCACACGATATCCGTAACGCTATTGAGACATCAAGTAAAAAGTACGTCATGATGAACAAGGGATTATAACCTTAAAATGAAATAGGTCTGTGTTACCGCGCCCTTACAAATTGCACAAGCATTAATGCAATGAATATCACGTCACGGTCTGCGTTTCGCTTGCAAGTTTCAGATTTACTGCAATACACCTGTCCTTGGACGGGTAAAAGGCTGGTGTTTTAAAGATTTATTTAAAATATGTATTCTAACTTTGTCATCTTGTTTTTTTCCTTGCAGCCGTATTGGATTTTACGTGAACACTTTCAGAAGCATTGCAAGTCTGGAGGAGAAATTTCACAAAGAGATTGGTCTGGTAAAACTGAATTACTCAAAAGTGAAACTTTTTGCTGACATCTATCAAGTGATGACATGTTTTTGGAATTGAATTTTAAAAAGTGGCATGACTGCACAGATTTATATGCTGAATTCCTCGGCTGTTTTCAGCCTAGGTGTCTAGATTCTGTTGGTTCAGTTCTTTCCTGAACTTGATAAAATGTGAGACATTACTAAGATATTCTTTTTGCCTTACAGATAGGTGAAATCACTGTGATATTATTCCCAATGTATGATAGTCCACTCTTAATTTTTTTTTAATTGGAATTTAAATCACAATGAAAATGTTGGTTCTATCTCTTGCATGTTTCCTGAGGTTGGATTGTGTATTTATGAGCTAGGACGGATCTTGCACGAAATAAACAGCTACAACAGGGGTCGGGAACCTTTTTGACTGGGAGAGCCATAAAAGCCAAATATTTCTAAATATATTGCATTGGGAGCCTTACAGTATTTTTAACGTATAATAAATTAAATATGTCTTACTTTTAATGCGACTTCTGGTGCTGCATGGTTTTGCTGATGGCCTTGTAGTCTGGTTCGTACGTGGTGAGGTTGAGCTTCATGCAGGCGTTGAGGCCCCGTGACTCGTGAAATTTATCTTCAAAACTAATTTCTGTTTACTTTAAAATGACACAGTATTATTAAGCAATATCACAAGTATTTTAAAATCAGTTCCAAACTGATTTTTGTATTTTATTTTTTTCAACTCAAAATTGTCTGGGAGCCATATGCCGTCACCGGAAGAGCCATATATGGCTCGCGAGCCATAGGTTCCCGACCGCTGAGCTACAAGAAAATATATTCTTTGGTTCTTTCGGTAAAGTCATGTCGATAAAAAAAGTGAATAGAAATAAAATAATAATTAAACGAAAAAACACTAATGTTTACTGTAGCCTGGTTATTATAATTTTTCTATATACGTGACTTTATCGAAAGAACCAAAGAATACGAATTCCTGCAGTCACGAAAGTTTTAAGTCAAAATACAAGAAAATAGTTGGTGTACGTACAGTGTATAGATATGAATGTACTGTATCTGTGTATTTTGAAATTGGAAACCACACAGTTGGGAACTAAAATGCACTTTTACAACAAAGGTACAGGCCATTCTTACAATTGAGACTATGTTTGTTCATTGAGTTCTCACCTGGTTAAACAAAATAAACATGAACTTTTCAATATCTCTTTTTAGAATATAATTTGAAAATACTTTTGTGCAGATATGTTTTATGTTAGCATCTGTGGTGTAAATTGTAGTCTAAAAATAATACACGTGTTAATAGCACATTAGTTTCATATTTCAGCATGTGTTCATTGATTAAAGAGAACAAAAGGCTGTCTCATTAAAAGGAGATATGTGCTGATATTTTTAAATGTACAAAATAAAAGTATATTAAATGCTATTTTATGTTGAAATCAATGTAACACTAGTGTTTTTCTAATTCCAGATTAAACCCACGTGTTGTTGATAGGCAAGTCAATAAAAAATTGAAATATGCTCATCGTATATACATCGTATAAGAATACATGATTTAATTCGTTATTCACTTGATAAAAAACAATGCTAATTGTCTTTAGGTTAATACAACAAACAATACAAACAACATAGAAAATATGACCCACAATGCAAATGAGAGTAACAAACAAAAACAATCAAAGGTTGGATGAAATAGTGTTCTTGAATCGTGATAAGCAATTCACCTGGATGGTGGATTGTTAAATGCTTATTGATTGAGACCTCTTTAATAAAATAGGCTTGTTCTGTGTCTATACAACATAAGGTCACTCAAATTATGCTGTCGGTGTTCCTCCACTGCAGCTGAACCACGAGCTGTACGAGGTGATGGTGAAGCTCGGCGACCAGCACGCTGACCTGGCCTTCAGCATTCGAGGTGCACCCAGGTACTAGAGATTGACACTGCCCTTGTGAATAAGGGCAGCACTTTTAGTCTATTTTTTGTCACAGGCTGTGTGTGCACACTCACATTTTCTGTTATAGTGTTGCTTCATGACATGATTTTTTTTGTTGACTCAATGGTTATGCATATGTAATGTTCTTGGAAGGAGTCTTCGTAGAGGCAACACGCTTTATTTCACCAAACAGTTACACTAATCCCTAATACAAGGGGTAATGGCCCCTTTCACCCACAATCTGGGGAGGTACAGCCTCCGGGCTATCGTACCTACAACTCTCCCGACTTCAGCCCTCCGGCTAATTAAACCTAGGGGAGGCTGACCCACCACTGGCCCGGTGGGTCCCTGACCACTGGCCCGTCCGGACCTGGCCCTCACAAGGGCATCAGGCCGAGGGAACCTCAGGGTTCTAACCCCACGACCACTGGCACCGCACTGAGCCCCGGCCCTTAGAAGGACGTCGGCGGTTTGGGGTCCAGGGTCTTCTTCAGGCGGCTTCTGGCTTCGGCTTGAGACGGACTGCCTCGCGCTCTCGGGGACCCGCCTTATATACTCTTTCTCCCTGAGGGGCAGGGTTCTGGGGGATCGTAGCTCCTGCCAGCCCCCTCCCCTCAGAGGGGTTCCAACTGCCGTTGGCCCGACCGGTCCGGACCGGTTTCTACCCCTCCCCCTGGTTGTGGCGCGTGTGTGTCAATCATGACCACCACACATACATGATTTCTAGAATATGAACACGGGTAAGTTTTTCACGAAAGCCCAGGAATGTACAAGTAGTTGATATTCAGTGTTTCTGAATAATTTGCCAGCCTCTTGCCATGATCTAACGGAAGTATAGACTCCAGCCCTAGATCATGTGGTTTTAATCTCATCCATCGACTTATTTCTTTTTAGTAAGAGACTTACGTTGCTATACTGTAGTACTCTATATTTTAGAAAGATGTTTTTCATTTTTAAAATATACATTGGTAGGCTCGGTAGATGACATATATTATACTGTAAATAACACACAATTATATTTTGTGCATGGATAACATTAGTTAATTTACACTGATGATGTAAATTACTTTTCATTAATTGTACCTTAAATGATTGATTCCAACTTTTTTTGAACCACTTGAATAGTGCTATGGTCGATTGATTTAATTCATTGTGTGATGTACCAAGTATTATATTTTTTGTTAAAGGGTTTTTAACTAATGAATGCATGTATGTTGAACTTCTTTTGCACCGTGCATAGCCATCCATGCTAATTGGAGGTGCAGGGCAAGGACAACAAAATAAAGAAAAAAAATCACCTGTAAAAAATGTAACTTAAACTGTTCATTTATTCCTCTTGCACTCCAAATATGTTCTTCTTTATAACCTGGTTTTCTCTTGACCCTGTGTAACAGTGATTCAGGGCCACTGAAGATAACGGAGACCCCGTGTTCCCCGCCGGAGATCACCGTGCAAGCCCCCACCTCCCTCTTCACGGGTGATGAGCAGGCACTTGGTCCAAACCACATGTCAGCTCCTCTCAAGTCTCCATCACTGGTTCGTGTAATGTTCGTTTAAATTTGTTGCCATAAATCTTGTGGAAATGTTTTACTCGAGTAGGAGCTAATTGGCTGTGTCTCTGCTGATTTTTTTTCAGGGACGCAAGGGGCCGCCAGTACCACCACCACCGAAGCTTACGCCCAGCAAGGAAGTGCAGCAGGAAGCTATCTTCAGCTTGTTTGATGACAACTTTGTCCCAGACTTTAGCAGCGCACCGGTACAGAATATTTCGTTATATCTTGTCATAATTGGCATCTTCATTCTACTGAATTGTGGTCATGATTTGCATTATCGTGAATTAACCAATTTTGGTAGAGGTCCCCTTGCCGATATGCCTTCTGGTTGCCCCGCGATGTTTCTGTCCACGTGCTGAGAGCTTTAGGATGTAAAGAATATATATAAGTATTCCCCGTGATGTCTAAAATTGGCACACGATTATTAATTAGCATACTATATGATCATACCTGTCAACCCCTTATCAGTGCCTACATTATTACAGGCCAATTCAGACCTTATTATTCACCACGTGCCCTTATAAATCTCAACGTTCATCCTACAAAGTCTCATCACAAGAGAGAAACACAAACAAATAGACATTTTTTTTTGCTCGTATTGAAACGGATGTATGCCATATGGACCTGAAAACTCAATTTCCCTGTACAAAAATACAGAAAAACCGTACGGATTGACAGGTATATGTAATTTATCATTAAATAGTTTTGAAGGTAATTCTTATCATAATCTGATATTTAGCTTGCATACTTTATTATGGTAATATACTTTTTGATACTACTTGCATATGTTCTTTGTAGGCAGAAGCAGCTAAGAAGGATGAGGGGAGCTTGTTGGACATCGATTTTGACCCTCTGAAGCCAGACATGGCCACAACTCCCATGAGCCCTGCCATAAACCAGGTTGGTTTTAAATGCTTTATCAAGTGTTGAGATCTTCTTCACCTACATTGCATGTTTGTGCAAATGGTTAATTAAACTGTCTATAAAGTTTAATTTAGATACATGTGTAGTGTGATATACAGAGGCGCACACAACTAGAGTTGGAGGCAACACGTTTATTAACAACTTCTCTAACCACTTCAGGTTCTATAGCTAGGTGCGGCTATATTCTTCGCTGTGTGCGTGCGAGTTAACGATAACGAATGGGCCAGTCAGCACACACGCTGCCTGACCCACGATGCTGAGTTAAGACTCAACCCGATGAATGAAGAGCTAAGAGACTGGGACCCCAGGACGATTCCCACAAATGAGCCCCGATCCCTGTCGGGGCTCCCCCTTTATTTCCTTGGCCGCGGCCTCGCCCCGTCCTCGGCAACGCCCCCTCCTGTATCAAGTCAGGAGCTCCCGGCTCCCTGTCACGTGTCCCTTAAGCCCCCGAGGGAGGTTCCCGGCGCTCAGCAGCACTCCTATTATAGTGGCTGGCGCTAACACTGTAGGGACATCAATTACGTCACTACACATGTGTAGTGACGTAATTGATGCACTGTCAGCTTTTCTCCTGTGTCACTTTATTACTTCGCATCCCGTACGGATGTTCCTCACTCTTTACACAACGCAGTCTTGCTCCGAACTCTCTCTTTCTCCGCTAGCTTGTCACTTAATACTCCGCTAGCCTGTTACTGAATACTCCGCTAGCCTGTCAACCTTCTCTCACACCTCCAACCTCAGCCAACACCGCTGGGGAGGACGATATGTGTAGGGCGAGGTCCCAGGCTTCTTGTCGCTGGCTCTTGTCCTCTTCGTTCCTTCAGTTCCAACCAACTCAACCCCGTGTTCTCCGCACACCCCTTTATATTCCCCTCCTCATTAAGGGTCCTCAGTTGCCCCCTATTAAGCCGGCGCCTCGGCGGCGCCTCCTGTACATGCTTTCTTTCCCTTATCTCAAACTCCCGTCTCTCCGGCGCCAACTCCGTGTTGGCCCGCTTGCACCTGCCTGTCCTCAAATGCACCCACCTAATTACCGCTTCTCCCCTTAATTGCTGGCGCTTCTCTGGCAGCTGTTCCATGTCCTAACGCTTGCACTTGCTCGCCCTGAAATGCACCCGCTGTTTGCAAACCCCACGCGTGAATGCATTCGCTATTTGCAAACCTGCGCGTGAATGCATCCGCTGTTTGCAACTCTGCGCGCGTTACGCCACTACACGTGTCAATTAACCAACCAGTCTCTTCCATAATGTAAATTATTAATTTGTAGCCTCTTAACATCTTACCAAAAATTAACTAAGGCCACAAAATGTAAACAACACCCCAGGTAATATCCATTTACAGAGAACATATGGAAATTAGAGACATCAAATTGACTGTTAAGAAGAGTAAGTTGACTAAAGCAGGACAAATCGCGAGAAGAGATGATGGTCCAAACTGATAGCGGAGTGGCAGTTCAGGGAAAGTACTGTACATGCCCAATAAAGGTTGATATCTGGAGATATGGAGTAACGAGATGAACGCATGTACAAGAGAGAGTTGGATTGCTGCATCTTGAGACTTCAGGCCTTCATCCAGCTGCCAAGGGAGCACAACTGGAAGTGGTTGCAAAGCAGTAACAAAGCTGTTCAAATAAAATATCGGCCCCTATGCAAACAACTTAAAATGGGGTAACGTAATGTTGTATTTGGTAATATGTTGTCATATTTTAAATATAAGCAACATTTATAGCAATAATGGTAACTATAAGCAACTGATTTAAAATATACTAGGTAAAAAATGTTTTTTCATGACATTTTTTGTGTCACCAAGATGCAGTTATGATCAAAATAATTGTATTTTTGTAGATATCTCCATTGCTTTTGTGGTTTCTTCCCAACGCTGCCAGACGTTACTGTTTGATCTTGCATGGGAGGTAAGTGTTGAGTATATTTTAGTTACAAAACACTTGATACAACACTTTATACATTTATATAACATTTCAATTATTGAATATGTAATTGTCTTCGAAGTATTACACGATATAAATTACATAGTACTTTGGTATTTAGCATACAGTTACAAAGCCCAGGCATAGTGAGGTGAACATGTTAGACATTGAAAAAAAAGTAATGGAGAAAATGTTCTGAATAATACATTGAGTAAAGCTCAGTCAGGTTAGAGGGCAGCTTAAAAAGGGATAGTTTTGATGCTTGGGTTTGAATAGTTGACATAACTATTTATCAACAACTACATTACCTTAGCTGGGTGAGTAGCGTTGTAGTCATTATAATTGACTCACAATCGAAAGGTCGTGAATTAAAATCCTTGTTGGATATTGGCTCAACCAATTGTCTCTGGGTCTGATGAAATAATTACTGATATGCAGGAATTCACAAGTGGTTATTGTTTGAAGATACTAGTATGCACTCGGTGAGTAGTGTGGAAAGTTCAGCGATGAGCACCTGTTTTTTTAAAGTACAAATAGCGAACTCTGATTTAACCGTATAAAAATATATCTCCTGCATTGTATTGTTTCTTTTCACAAAAGGCAAGTCCTCAGCAGGTGCAACCTCCTCCTCAGCCTGTGATGCCGGTTGAAACTGTGATTCCCGTTGAGCCTGTGATTCCCGTTGAGCCTGTGATTCCCGTTGAGCCTGTGATACCAGCGCAGCCAGTGAGTATGGATTTTGATGCTCAAAAGTATTTTCATGTTTGTTAGTCTTTGTGATTATTTTCTGTTGTCGTTTATTGGTGTGCATTAAAATAGTTTGCATCTATCTCCATGATTGATTGTAGCCTTCACTTTAAGAACTGGTACATTTGTAAATACACATTCTTTAAATTCCTCGTTACTATAGTATTGCTGTGTATTTAAATCTTAACTAGATTGACTACCCGGCTTCGCCCGGGTCTTGGATCTACGACGCCCGGCCGCCTTTGTCTCCCCAGTGACGATGTTCACACACGACACCAGTTACGCGTTTGAGGCTGAGTGGACCTAGGGGAGGCCCAGGTCCGTTTCTAATAATCATCAGCGGTGGTGGGCGTGAGTGGGAATCGAACTGGGGTCGCTCAACCAGCTTAATGACTATTTGTACAAAGAACATATGAAGAATCGATTATAATAAGCAGGCTACAGTCAACATTATAGACTGCCAGTACACCCACTCAGCTTCATAAGCAGGCTAGAGTGTACATGATAGAGTGGCAGTACGCTCACCGAGCTTAATAAGCAGGCAACAGTCTACATGATAGACTGGCAGTACGCTGACCCAGCTTAATGACTATTTGTACAGTGAACATTTAAATAATCGATTGTTGGCGCATTGGGTTTAAAAGTAATATTAATTGCACACATTGTGGTGGGGGTGGAGTGAAGAGTACGATAAACTTTGATGAATTTACCTCAGAGTCGCATGGTGGGTGTCGAGGCCTAGTAGCGTGCAGAGCCTCCGGCCTCGCCAAAATTGCCCACCCGGCAGAGGCAGGGTACGGGTGGCATTCCTCCCCCCCCCCCGCGCTACAATAGTACTGTGTAATCGCTATTATTTAATTATCTACGGAGCCTATGAAAGCGGCGAAGGCGTGGCTACCCGTTGCCAGGGGCAACTGCCGTCCAATTAAACTGCAGCCCGCGGCGAAGGCGTCGCTAGCCGTTGGCAGGGGAAACCGCCGTCCAATGAAAGCGGCGAAGGCGTCGCTAGCCGTTGCCAGGGGCAACCGGCGTCCAATGAAAGTGCGTATGGTCCGGCGACACACACACACAGACAGACAGATTCGCGATTTTATATATATAGATTTCTTTTACATTTCACTTACAAAAGCTCTTTTTTACATTCTTATTTTATGTTTTGGATTTTCCTTATCTTCTATTTGCTGTCTCTTTGTCTCTCCATCTTCCTCCGCAGCAATCAGAGCCTGTGCAAGGCCATACCAGCAATTATATGTTCACGGATTACTTATTCAGTGAGCAGCCAGGTAGTGCAGGTGAAAGCGAAGAAAAAGCTTGCTGGAGTTGGGATAAACAGGAGGAGCTTGAAGTTTCACTTGTCCAACATGAGCAGTGTAATTCTGAAAGCGAACCTTTTAAAGTCGTCCTTGGCTCGTTTGACGGCAGTGTCAGTGCAGAGTTTTCTATGAAGAGTGATTGTGCAGATGTAGATGTAGGAGAGAGAAGTGTAGCTTCTGCACAATTAGACGAACAGAGTGGTGAGGCTATGCAGTTTGAGAGTCAATGTGTGTCATCTGCCCCTGATAAATCTGAAAGTTGTGAACAGGATGGAGATATTTTGGATGAGCCTCGTCATGGTGCTTTGCAGTTAGCAGATGATGTGTGTGCTAATGTTGAGTCAGATCAAGAGCAAGGTAGGGGTAATGAATGGTCCCTTGAAGTGATTCATGACACAAATGACCATTCAGAGAAGGAATCCGATGATGAAGGTCGAGTTGTAGGTAGTCTGTGCTCTGCATACAATGTGGCTAGCAGCTTAACATCAAACAAGTATGGAGATAAACAATCGGTAAAAGATGAAGGAGTGTTCGCTGACGATCACAGAGAACACATGCATGCCACTGACGAGGTTGCAGCTGAAACATTAGACATTATTCAGCCGAGTGCTGAAAATGAGGAGGGCTTTGATCAGCACAGGAGACAGAGTAGTCAACAGGAGGCAGAGCCAGAAACAGCAGCTGAAGAAGAGGAATACAAGGATTCCCATATTGCTGTGAGTACACCGCTCCATACTGATGCGGGTCAAAATGTAGATAAGGAACAGTTGATAAGACCTAGATGTGAGACAGCTGTGGGAGTTGCAAGTAATCCTGATGTGTCAGTTAATCAATCCGAAGTTGAAAAAACGCACATCTCCATTGCATCTGAGGATTATAGTATTGATTCTGAGTTAAAAAAATGTATCACATCAATTCGTTTATTTTCCGATAACAGAATAGCTTGTGAGAATGATTGTACTCTGAAACAAGAGGATGAGATGTCAGGTTGCGAGACACTTAAGAATATTTATGCAACAGAAGTTACTGATGAAAAACATTTAGATATGTTAAACTTTTTTCCAGATCAGGACAGTTGGTTGAATGAGGCATTTGCCAACAGAGGGGATGATTTTCAGGAATTAAGCACTGATTTAAAAAAAGTTCTTGAGGATCCTTTGTCCTGTAAGGATTTCATTGCCTCAAAAACCCTAGTAAGTAATAGCTGGACCCAGGATGTGGACACAACCTCAGAATTTGGCACAGCTGATAAAATATACCATCAGGATAATGTGAATGAGCAGGGGCATTCGGTGCCTGATTGTATGTCAGAGGTTGTTGGGGAAAGTTCTCGGGCAGATGTTTCATACACAAAAAGTGGTAATGACAAAAGCAAAGATGCCAAAATACCTACAACAAATACAGATAACTGGGATAGTAGACATAGTATGAAGGGAAGAATTGGACAGAAACATGAAGACAATATTGACAATATGCAAGATAGACAGGAGGAGCTCCTCTTCAAATCAGACGACAAAGAGAAAGAGGTAATAACACAATTGAATTAAACCATAAAGCTCTTGAAACTCTGGTAGAGGATTGTGGAATTGTTTGTGAAAGTGAGATATCTTACATGCAGGACAACACTATTGCTACAGATGCTGGAAATGTACATGTTTCCAAAAAGAATGTAGAGGCACAACCTGACCATCAAATAAATGTCACAGTGACTTTCACAAGGAAAGCGCAGCCTAGCACAGAACACAGGCATGTAGCAGCCCAGGATGGGGTTAAGGCCAGGCAATCCAACGACTCCGAATTATCTGAAGATGAGGCTGCCGATCTTCGCTACGCGAGTTTGTACGGGCGGCTGGGGGCTGAGGTACCTTATCAGGTCCCAAGATGTAGGACTTATTTCTTGACCAATCCAGCAATGTACTTGCAAATCCTTTCCCTAAAATGTTCCCAATCCAGAACTGTTAAAGGGCATACATTTGCCATCCTTAGAGTAGATATGTACCTTTACTTCCCCAATGTTTTGACCCATAACTATTGTAATCACCCAGGAATGTCTGTCCTGAACGCTCATGACGTCACTCCACATCGACCAGCCCCCCTCATTAATATTCATGAGCAGGTGACGTCCTCCAAATGGACACCCCCCCCACCCCTCATTAATAATCATGAGCGGGTGACATGACTCAATATGGAGTATCCCCCCCCCTCACTAATCATTCGCAAGTGACGTCACTCCACATCGAACAGCCCCCCTCATTAATAATCATGAGCAGGTGACGTCCTCCAAATGGACACCCCCCCATTATTATTGCTTTTTATAATGAGCAAAGAATGTCTGTGTGTAACGCTCGTGACGTCACTCCACGTCGACCAGCCCCCCTCAATAATCATGAACAGGTTATGTCCTCCACATGGACCCCCCCTCATTAATAATCATGAGCAGGTGACATCACTCCACATGCAGCACCCTCCCCCCTCATTAATAATCATGAGCAGGTGACGTCACTCCACATTGAACAGCCACCCTCAATAATAATAAGGTGACGTCCTCCAAATGGACACCCCTCCCCCATTTATAATAATTAGCGGCTGATGTCACGCCACATGGGGAGCCGAGGCGCCTCCTCCCCCCTCCTCGGCGTCAACTTGCAACCCTCACTACAAAGGCAGAACCCTCACGTTACGCTATCTCCTTAACGCTATTGAGACATCAAAGTAACAAGGACGTAATGATGAACAACGGATTATAACCTTAAAATGAAATAGGTCTGTGTCATTGCGCCTTTACAAATTGCACACGCATTAATGCAATGAATATCACGTCGCGGTCTGCTTTTCGCTTGCAAGTTTCAGATTTATTGCAATACACTCGTCCTTGGATGGACAAATGGCTTGTTGTAAATAAGCTGTGTATTTTTCCCCCCCAAAAAATCTTGTGCTTTTTCATTCCTTTGCTGTCTTTTTTGTCTGATTTCCATACCCTGTTCTGTAAATCACACTGACAGTGGGAATACTGGGCCAAAATTAATGATTCCACTTTTTAACAAAAGCACATTTCATAGAACCACATTCACCATGGTGAATTTCAAATTGTGATTTTGAAAAGCCACTAAAGCACACATTCACATGGCAGTTAAAGCACCGTAGGTCCTTGGTGTAAATCCTACTTTGCTTTAATTGTACCACTTGTGAAAATGTACTGTAGGTCCAAGAACAGACTAAATGAATGTGACTTGAATGAGCAAGTGTAATCATTAACCAAATTCTAAGTGGTCCAGTAACCATAGACTGTCATTTTAGTAAAGCTGGGTAATAAGTTGTTTCGTAAATGAGTGAATGTTTTAATGTTTTAAATTTCTACGATTTTATTTGGCTTTTTTACATTTGGTTGTTTTCTTTTCAGATATACATTACCAGATTTTACGGCTACCAGCAGGTTGTGTTTTAATTATAATTTATTTGAGTTCTGTTTTGCTTTGTCATGTTTTGTTTGTATTTGGGATAAGTCGATAATACAGATTACAAGTTAACTCAGACTTTACTTGTTTGACAATCTTCACACCTGATAATGTGTGGTGAGAATATTATCAAGGAAGTGTGATGTCCTTAAACGAAATGTTAAGCCGCCAATCGCATATGCTTTATGTGGGCATAAAACATTGTTTACAACACTACTACATTTATTTATTTTCTCAAGTATATCAGTGCCTATGTTGAGCTTATGTGCAGTTTTGCCTTTGAACTGTTTATTAAGTGTTAAAATAATAGCTATATATTTTTCTCCCATCATTTGAAAACTGAAGTTGATCATAATAAGAAAGTTATGTAATACCCTTTTTAGCTGGTGGATTATTTTTGTTAACTATTTAATACACTAAAATAACTTTTAGTATGTGTGTGTTTGGAGTTTTAGGATTGCACAATGTTTAATGATCACAATCAAGAGTTTATTTTCCGAGTATACTGCATTGACATTCAGCTCTGTAATGTTAATGACGCATTTATTTTTTCCCATTTTGTTCAAAGGATGTCAGTACAGCAGAAGAAACAAGCCAGGTAAGATAATGCAAATGTGTCACCTTATCGAATTAAAACAAATATACTTTGGTTCTTTCGGTAAAGTCACGTAGAAATAATATAAAATAAATAATAGAATACGACGTTTCGATTGCAACACAAGCAACCGTCATCAGGTATGAATGAATGCGAAAACAAACCCAGTAAACTTAGAAATGTAATGCAATGCAACACAGAGTCGGCTTCTCTCTCTGTGTATGTCTCTCTCCGTGTCTGTGTTTGTCTCTCTCTCTTAACTTTAAATTTAGCAATCTTTGGAAGAACGTAATCAACCAGGTCAAGTGTTAACTGTTGTGTTAGCCGACTGTGTTCCATTGCATTACATTTTTAAGTTTACTAGGTTTGTTTTCTCATTCATTCATACCTGATGACGTTTGCTTGTGTTGCAATCGAAACGTCGTATTCTATTATTTATTTGATTTTCTTTCTACATGACTTTACCAAAAGAACTAAAGAGTAATTCCTGCAGTCACCAAAGCTTCAAATCAAATTAAAAACAAATATCTAACATTGAATATTTCTAGTTATAAAAGTAATGCATTTTTAAAGTGAAAAGTTGTTTTAATTATGTATTTTGTCAATCACAGAAACCTGCATCTTGGGATGAAACTAGTGAGGTGAGATGTGGTATTGATTTGTATTACATTGATATGAAAATAACTTAACACTGGTGACAGGTGACTTAGACTTGCTGACCCACCAATACTGGACATCTGAAAAAGAGTTTCTGAGCTCATCAGATTCCTCCTGTCTAAATAAATATTCAGATTTTGAAGCATATATATATCATCTCTGCTATTTTTTCTCCAATGCTACTTGCTTAAAATTTTATGTTTCTTATACAATTAATCCATTAAAGGTGGTTATAAAAACCTGCTTTCGTCATTGTTCAGGCTTTTTTGGCATAGAATAGGCAGAGTATATATTTAAAGCTGGTGGAAAAATAAATGGAAACAAAAATACTGCCATTTTTATGTTCATACATATAAGCAGTTCTTTTTTTACTTTATTGCATCTATTTATGATTTCATACGAGTTACCATTACACACCATGGCCATGTATAGTGAAGGAATGGCAGATCACTTATGTATAGAAAGCTGACAAGATATACGAGTAAGGAATGTCAAAAGAGGTGTTCAAGGTCTTTTTACTCTGTGTATGTTACATCTGATCAGACAATGGAAGCAGCCATGGGTCCTTTGGTTAAGAGCCCTGAATCTGAAAGTGCTGTCGTTCCCGCTGAAATGGATGTCGTTCCCGCTGAAATGGATGTCGTTCCCGCTGAAATGGATGTCGTTCCTGCTGAGATGGCTCCCATCCCTATGGAGACTCCCATTGTGGAAGTAACTGCCAGCACCCCCACTGTAAGGCTCACCAATGTTTTTTTTTATTATTTGCTGTTGATGATAAAGTAATCGCATTGCACATATATCAAAATGCTAATTTTCTTGAAGATTACTATGTAACACAATTGAAATGCGGAATCGTGCACATGGATGATAATGTAAACAATGATAACTGCATTTTGTGTTTGTGCAGCCGGTGGACTCTGGTCCAGAGTTGGACATGGCATTTGTGACCAATGGAGAGGCTGAGGTTGAAGCAAGCAAGCATGTTGACACATCTTCAGAAAGCACTGACATGCCCCCTGGATTCTTGTACAAGGTGCAATTTATTAGAACAGCCATAAGATGTGTGTTAACCAAGGCTGCTATTTGTATACTTAAAATATTTGCAAGTAACTTGTCTGAAAACATGTTGAATTGTCAGTGATTGTGTGTTCTTGAACAGTGGATTCTGTAAAACTGATGAACCAATGTGCTCATTCCAACAAATAACTGGTTATGCTCGCCTGATTAAATTTAACACATGAATAACCCATTTAATACGAGCGTATTAATACTCATATTAATCATTGCTTCATGTCTAATTTATTATTTTTACCAATAAACAATACAATGTATGGGTGAAACCCTATAAACTTATCGTTATATCATTTTTTAACAGCACAGTTTTTTTTATATGGTTTTGTTGCAGAGCTTCATTACAGTTGACTATATTGAGGACTATAACTTTATGCATGGAGTATTGCTTGTGACAGTTCTTTCTGCATGAAGGTGCAGGCCGAGCATGACTACACTCCGCTGGATGCTGACGAGCTGACTCTCCTGCGTGGAGATGTGGTTCTCGTGTTGTCCTTTGAAAACGCCGACGAACAGGTACCGGGACATTCCAATATGTCCCTTTAGAATGCACCGACACAACAAAGAGCAACTGCACGACAACAAACGCTTTTGTGCAGTAAGGCTTCTTCATTTCTTCTGTACGTAGCTTGTTTACAATTGTTGCTTTTCATCTTTAAGTTCACTTTAACAGTCGGAACATTACAGCAGGGTGATACTTAATTGCCGCCTCAAGGTCAACCTAACCGAGCAAACCCTGTACACTGGTGAAGGTGATCTTGAGAACTTTTCCAAAGCTGGGTGTTCTGCCCCTTCCACAGGATGCAGGATGGCTCACAGGAATCAAGGAAGCTGATTGGTTGGCATACAAGGACCTAATGGGCCGTAAGGGTGTGTTTCCAGAAAACTTCACTCAACGTTTGGAGTAGTAGAGTTCTTTCAATGGCTGATTTTGCTTCATCCACGTTCTTGTTTAACACATCGACACACACAAAACAATATTTTCACAATTGTTTTCCTGATTTCAGAAATGGTATCAACTAAATATAAAACAGTTTTGTTTTTTGCAACTGCTTTGTTTGAAAGCATATCCCGAAGTACGTGTGACTGTGTTTACATTGAATCACCTTGGAATCCTATGACTGCAGAGTTTGAAAGTATTTTGCCAGACATGCAGTATTACATACCCATCATTATTTAACATAAGACCTTGTCTACCAGTTCGGTATAGCAATTTACATGCTCCTTTAAAGTGACGTTACAAGTGCTCAAATGTTATTTGTTAAACACTTGTTAGTTTTATATCATGATTCACTTCTCGGTCATGTTTTGAAATAATATCAAGTGTTCCTACATTATGTGCAGTTCAAAGGTTGAAAATCTTTGAAGTGTCAACTATTATACCAGGTAGGTAAGCAGTATGTGAAGATGCTTCTTCACTAAGCCAATGTAGTACTGCAGGTCTTTTGGCAAGGAAGTTTTTTGTCTTTTTTGCGCATGCTTAAGCAATAAGGACTAACCAATGTGCATTTGAAAAGTAGCAAGGTTTATTCATTGGCTGATTTTTCTCTCCTCTACATTTGTATAACATACACTCGCAGAACAATATTTTCACATCTTACTCAAAGGATATTTCAAATAATTCGTAAATGGGCTAACATCGGAGGATTTAGGCAAGGTGTGATTTGCCAACTTTCCATTGGGGGAAAATTATAGTCTAACCATCCCCATGACTGACACGGAATGCGGAAGCCTTCATCCAAAAAATAATTGCACACATAACAGGTAATATTGCCTCAATTTGTTATATACACTTTCGAATAATAATAATACATTTTACCTTGGGAAGCCTCACTGATTTTCCTCAATACTTTTTCAGGACGATCATTCTACATTTCAATGTTTGCCCATTACCAATAATGGGTGTTTGACTTCTTGTGGGACAAAACTACATGAGGCGGTGACATCGAGGGATTAAATGATCAATTGATCCTTATGGCAGTACCTCGGGGTATCAAATAATACAAAATAGCCGAGGCAATTCAATATTTAATTTCTGGGACACTTTTCCAGGGGTGTACTTAAATCCGCGACTGGGGTACCAATCAATCCGAAATCAGTGCTATGCGATGTTGAAACGCGGCGAGGACGATTGCGCTGAAACTCTGAACACTTGTATGCACCGCAGTGCACCGTGTACAGCTTGTCGAGATGAGTCGATTGCCGCATCGCCGACCATCAACAGACTAAAAATTACTGCATCACGGACATTGTGCGAGAGCCGGGGTACCGCCATAAGGTTCAATTGTCCTTCCATCTTCTGGCCACTTTGCAGCCAGCCCCAAACCTAAGCATTCAAGTATGAACAAAATCTTTTATATCCAGAGGGTATATAATTAGCTCCCTCCCCGGGTATGATGGTTGAAAGTGTAGTCATGGGGATAAAAGGATTTAACAGAAAGCAGAGCCCTGACTATCAAATCGCATCCCAGTTGTAGATGTGGATTTCCTTATTTGGAAATTATATTAGATCATTGCCAAGGAGAATGCACATTTAGGTAATAATGTCTCCTACATTGTTCAGGTGACAATGACAATGTAATTTCTTACTTGGTCTCAAGGTCTAACATTAAATTACATTTTTACAAGTCGGCAAGCCATTGGTATCGTGTGTTTACCATAGTTAATGCCGTATATGTGTTGTGGTAGTTAGGGTTATGTTATTTCCCTTTTGTGTATGTATGCAAATGTGGTTATATTTATATAAATATGCAATATATTATTTGCCACTTAAATGAATAAACAAGTAAAATGTTAAATACTCCTTGTCTGAACATATATGTAAGACAAATCTGTCAATAAATATATTAAATGCAATCCTGTGGATTGATCACTGCATTGGGTTATTATTTTTTTATAATCTCGTGTACTTTACATTAGTTTTATAATTCAATTACAGAACCAATCACATTACTCTTAGCCACGTAATAAGAGATCCCATAAAACCAAAAATGGCTTTGCAAAGCTAGTCGGTAATGTGTACCTCTTGAATAGGCTAAGTGGTGAACACGTCAACACATTTACATGTTTCACACACCAACTGATGTATAGAAATTATATTGTGTGCAAATTATGGATTGTGAGAACTGCCTTATTTAGCATTTTTATATTTCAGGGTTAGATGTTGAAGCCCTGACTTGTAGACCGATTCAAAAATGAATAGGATGGAGCATAATCTGTACCATTGCAGTTTAAGCTAAAATAGACCCTCACAAAGGAATGTGCAATTTTTCTCTTGATTATTGCTTTAGGTGAATAAGGACTATCATTACATCTGATTAAGACCCTTTATAGCAGCATTTTTTTACGTGGCAGGTTTCATCAGGTTCTTATTAAAAAGTAGTTTGGGTGTTTTTCTCCGTAATTACGAGCTTTTATTGCAAATGTCTGTTTAATGAAGACAGTGCAGTGTTTTAAACCAATTAAGGTGACAATGTAATGCACTGTGTTTAACATGTACCCAATTAAATGTAGAGTATCTCTTCCCACAGACCACTCGTAGTTATCAGTCATGATCAAATGGCAATTTTATTTTATACCTCTAATGAGAATGACATTAAAATATTTCAGGAAAACTTAAAACAATATATTTAATTTAAGATCTTAACTGTACACGTAAATTTGTGTAAGTGGGTATATATACCTAGGTAGAAATAAAAGTTAATACCAATGTTAATTATTTTCCAGAAACTATTGCACAACAAACGCAGCAATGCGCCATGAAAATCTTCTGCAGATGAGTGGTATTGCCCATTGAGTATGTTGTGTTTTCCTGTAAAGAAAGCTGGCCAGGAGTAAGCAGTACCGCCACAGGATGGCAGTATGGCAGGGAATTAATTACCTTTTGAGTGCGAGCTCCTCAGGTCCGTGGGTTTTCTTCTGGTGCAAGCATTTCCTCCAAGATTTATATATTATTGAAATTCGCTTATCCCGACTTAGAACCATCCTAAAAATATATATTCGTCAGACGCAGCCTGTTCTGGATAAAGGTGCGCGCCTGTAATCCAGCCCAGGGAGGCTCGGCTCGGTGGAAACTCAATTCCAGTGGTTGTTGAGGTGCCATACCCTGGCTGGCCAGGAGAGGGCAGTACAGCACGGATTAATCGCCATCTGTTTCGCATATCCATCATAGATGTTTTTGGGTTACATCGCGTAAATATAAATGTCGTTAAACCCGCCACCACCCGACAGGCAATTGATAAGATGTATCATGTAAACAAAACATGCTAATTATTTACTCGTTCAGCACACTGGTGTGTTGGAGAGTAAACCTACATTTACAACACTGCTGAACTAGGAACTAATTGGTATGTTTTGTTTACGTGACACCTTACTAATTGTGTCCGGTGCACGCTTAACGACACATTTCCGTGTTAAACTTTTTCTCATGTGTTTTCTCTCGGTGCTCCGATTTTCTCCCACATGTATAATAAACACTCACCAACTGGCTGAAGACGTCTGAAAAGAAAAAGCTAATGCGCGACCCTCCTGAGAAAAGGTTCCACAACTCAGTCTGGCTTTCCTGGATAAATGCTGTACGTAAAATCATACAGGGGCAAATACGCTTCTGACACTGCTTGTGCCAGAGCACGCAGCACCCTAGAGGGTGCTGTTAAACGAATTCTGGTGAGCAATCGTAACTCTAAAATCTTTTTGCCTTTGGGCAGCGCTGTGAATGAGATTTCAAGAAACAGCTGCATGCAATGGGTATGCCTGTTCTTTTTTGTTCAAGATGGTTATTTCACCGATTTAAAGAAGTGCCCGTGTTTAAAAATGTGAATGTGGTACAAGGACGACATTTATTTATCCCAGTCAACATTACACTTGACATTCCAAATATAATCACGTGGTAATTAATACTGGGGTATTGATAAATGTGTTTATGACAATACTAAACGAATTTTATTTGTCTTATATAGGGCGTTTAAATGCTTCAACATCTCAAAGTTCCTTATAGTACCTCACATCTCTTCTGAACCATTTGAAGGGGATCGCTATTCGCAGCTGTCTCTGTATACCATGAGGTGACTTCGCACCAGCCTGCATTTGGGCATTGGTCTACTTGTAGAGTGCGATGATTACTTTGTGTAATCTCAATGGAGCAATCCCAATATGATTCCAAGAGGTTTGGCTTGGATAGTTTTCCTGGTACCACCTATGCGTTTTAATAAGTGCGTCTACTACACTGAAAACTATCGATGTGCAATGCGTGGCTCCGACACATTAATTAATTCTTCGGTACAGCTTCGGTTCTTCTCTCGCTCTGCAGATGTTGACCACTCAGGTGGCTGCGCTGCCCCGCGCCACATGGCGCTCACCCGCTCACCAACACGCCGCAGGCTGACGGCGCGCTGGGGAGCAGCTGAGCGGCTGAGGGGCTGGAGGTCGAGCCGCCACATGGCAGGTGGAGGTGGCAGGGCAGCAGCGACGGGGAGCTCCTCTTGATCTTCACACACCGACCCCGCACGTTGCTGTGCCCCCGGCTTATATTCGCTCCCTGGCGACTAAGCCCCGCCTCTGGCCACGCCGCTCCTGGAACCTTCAGGAACGTTCAGGAGGCATCCCTGGTGGATCCGCCCCATCACCTTTACCCCAGATATAATCCCTACTGTAGATAAACCGTAACTGTAAAAACAACGTACGCCCCACAATAATACAGGAGATGGCGCTCTTATTAGAGAAGTTCCCGACGATGACTTGGAGACAAGACTTAGGGTTAAGGGCTTTCGCCGTAAGTTTATTAAAGATATTGCGATAACACGCAGGGGTAACAACGTCCCAGGGGTTAGGGGTCCCGGGATAGGTCCCACTCGTTCCTGTCACAGCCGGCTGCCCTGTGCTGCCTCCTCTGCGCCAGCCGTGGGTTCAGCCAACACGGCTGAGGAGCACAGCCACCTCCGGCCCTGACGCTGTGCTATCCCCTATTCCTACCCCCTTGCCCCTGGCTCCCCGTTCCACCCTCTTCTGACCCTCGACTCCAGCTATGACCCCGCCTACGTCACGGGGTCCCCCCTTTATACTCCAGGAGCGGTGACGTCACTCCGCCGCCCAGAGTGCATGACGTCACATCCCGTGATGTCATCGCATTGGACAGCACAAATGATGCCACTTCCGCATTCCACTCCTCTACATCACCCCCCCCCCCCCCTTGAAAAAAAAAACAGCCGACCCGGCTGCAACCACAACGCAAGCGGGGCCCAACCCCGGACCCAAGGCCAAACAACGAAGATTGGTTGTGCCTGGAGGTAAAACCGGCTGCTAGAAGTAACCCAACCTTAGGGCAGCATGGCCCCCCAGGCACCACAAGAATAACAACCCTTTAAGAGTGTGCTCCTAATCTCAGCTCGTTACCTGTATAAAAGACACCTGGGAGCCAGAAATCTTTCTGATTGAGAGGGGGTCAAATACTTATTTCCCTCATTTAAATGCAAATCAATTTATAACATTTTTGGCATGCGTTTTTCTGGATTTTGTTGTTATTCTGTCTCTCATTGTTCAAATAAACCTACCATTAAAATTAAAGACTGATCATTTATTTGTCAGTGGGCAAACGTACAAAATCAGCAGGGGATCAAATACTTTTTTCCCTCACTATATAACCTCTTGCCACGGCAGCTCTCCTGCCCACTTCAGCTTTTCTTGCTGTGGTTGTTCCACCTGATTTGGATTGCTTGTGTTACGATCGAAACGTCGTGATTTGTTTTATTTTATTTCTGCCTACGTGACTTTACCGAAAGAACCAAAGAGTATGAATTCCTGTACAGTATTGCCAAATGCATCATGCTCGTTAAGAGGTCTTGAATGAGCATGTTACGTGCCAGTGCAGACAAAGATGTATATGAATTAGTAACATCATTCAACATTGTCAATAAACGTGTGGATTTAATCAAACAATTTACCATAAAAAATAAACTTTAGGTGAATTTCGTAAACTTCCAGAGGTAATAAAATATTATTATTCTGACCTGAACATTATTTTGAATAACATAACAAAAAAATATTGTGCTCTATTTTAGACCACAAGAAAGACAAGCATGCCTGGAAAATTCGGGTTCATTTTAAAGTAAAATGATGATACATTGATTAAACATAGATATTAAATAATATAACAAAAACATAAACTTCATCCTCAACGATATAATTACAGTAGATTCAGTAGAAAAGTCGTGGCCAATCATTGCAAATGTATAAAGTTATAAAGATGCGGAAAGGCCTTTTTTGTGTGACCTGCACTTGGTATTTCCTGTCTGCTGTGTAAGAACACACGTGCTGAACAGTTGTGCTCTGTAATAGATGACTCAGTTTAAAATATGTACCTTGTCAGACTCTATGGGTTAAAGAAAATCCTCGTGAATTTTTAAAAGATAATGGCCTGCTACGCATACGATGGGAATGTGTGCAAAAGTTATGACGCAACTATTGTCTTGACATTACATCTGCATGCAGATTATGTTAATTATATTCCACATTGCAATGTTGTTTTTCTTCTTGGTTCTTTCGGTAAAGTCACGTAGAAGGGAAGTAATAAAATAATAAAAATAAAACATAATCAAATTATTCTCACGACGTTTCGGCCACAACGCAAGTAGCCGTCCTCAGGTGAAAACCAGGTCTGTCGAGGCGACAGCGTCTGAATGAACGCGCACACGCGCTTGGAGCATGTATATAAGCTGGGTTGGAAGGGGGGAAGAAAGGGGGAGCCTTGAAAAAAGAATATGCATATCAAGAGGAATTTAGCATATTTATGGGAAATGCAGATATGTGATTAGTACTGCATATGCCCGTGCATTATGCAGGATTAGCAGCATCAAAGGGAGGGGATAG